AAGATCGTTCCGCAGATTTCGAGCACAGATTCAGAATCAGCATTTCAAGCTGCATCATGGTATACATCGCATTTCAAATAACCACGGTCACCAAGTATCTTTCCCTTGTAAGAATCACAACTCCATCAACATACCTTCACCTCTCCTCTGATTGTAGCCAGCAAAAGTGGTACGATTAGACAACATGGAACCAAGTATAACAAAGCAGGCTGCGCAGCCTGAATGGAAAAATGGAAAAAATGAAGCTAAATGAATCTGCATACTTTGAAATGATGCATGACAAGCATAGTAATGAGAAGACCGACAGCGTATGCAGTTATCGTAACCATGAAATAGTACCTGAAAATAATTATTTTGTTTTGAAACTTGAATTCTGAACAACAAGAACTTGCAGAAAAAATCTTACCGCCCTCCCTTATTCTGTCCCGAGTTCTCAGTGATCCTCAAATCAAATCTCCTTAAGAGAGCAATAAATATGCCAGGTATGACTATATCTCCCAGACCTGTAGCAAAAAATACTGCTGCTATTTTTTGAAGAATAGAGACTGACTCACCTAGCATGCTGTGCTTAGCGGCATCTTTCCATCCGTGCCTAAGAAGATCCTGTGGAAATTGTAAAAGAATGGGTGCGTCAATTCCCTTGGCAACAGAAGTCATGACATCAGTACCAAAGACCCAGAAGATATCATAGATAAATAGACCGGCGAGAAGAAGAGATCCTGCCTAAATTTGTACCGGATAGAGACGAAACTGGGTAGTAACCCTAGAAATTTGGATGTGATATTCAAAATAAACAAAAATTAGAATAGAATAAAATCAAAAAAGTAGAATTTCAACAAACCTTGAAACTACTCAGATGAAGATTCTCAATACCATAGATGGAGAATGCTATTCCTAGTATATTGTTCGTGATCCAGTGACGTTTATAGATGTGTGAGATGCCAACTAGTAAACAAACAGCAATAGCCACAATGTCGTGCGTATCAATCTCAATCTTGAATGCATACTCCTAGAATGAAACAAAGTTATGGCAGGACATATAAACGCTGAAGAACGAAATGAGCATCTGAACAGAAAAATAAACAGAACAGAGCAGAGAACAGATACGAGAAATAAATGTAAAACGATGTGGATGCTGACGACTTGTCTAACTGCGAGATCAAAGAATGAAAAAAGATAAGTAATAGAATATGAACTATCATGATCAAGGATACAAAAGTTACAAAAAAAA